CTTAGAGGTGGCTATTTATTAAGGCTGGGGCCTAAGGTAGGTGAGCCTGGGGCTTGGAGGCTGTTTTTCGCTTGAGTATGGCTCTCTATTAAGTCCAGGGCCTGAGGTATGCGGGCCCAGGGGTTGGAGGCTGCTTTTCACTTGGAGGCAGCTGTTTATTAAGGCCGGGACCTGAAGTAGGTGGGCCCAGGGTTTGGATGCTGCCTTTCGCTTGGGTGTGGCTCTTTGTTAAGGCTGGGGCCTGAGGTAAGCAGGCCCAGGGCTTGGAGGCTGCTTTTCACTTGGGAGTAGCTCTAATTTAAGGCTGGGGCCTGAGGTAGGTGGGCCCAGGGCTGGGAGCTGCCTTTTGTTTAGGGCAGTGCTATATTAAGGCCAGGGCCTGATGTAGGTGGGCAGAGGCTCAGGGGCAGCTTTTTACTTGCGGGTGGCTCTGTTTTAAAGACGCCTGAGGTATGCAGGTGCAGGGGGTTTGGGAACACCTAAGGGAGATAAACTTGTCTGTCAGTTTGTTGTCCTGTGATGGCTTGCATGTTGCTGTGAGGCTGGAGGCTATGCCACCGTGTTACAAAATGCCAGCAGGGTAACCCATGGTGGATGGGTTTCAGCAGAACTTCTGGTCAAAAACAGACTCAAAAGAAGGAAGAGGCCATCCACTTCTCAAAGAATTGGCCAGTGTAAACCTTATGAAGAGCAGTGAAATACTGTCTGATATATTACTGGAAAACTTGATGAATAACCTTGAAACATTGTCCAGTGTAGTGCTGGAAGATGAACTCATCAGGTGGGAAGACACTCAAAATTTCACTGGGGAAGGGCTGACTCCTCAGAGTAGAAATGACCTTAATGATAGGGGTAAAGCTTTCAGGACTTCCATTGGCTGATATAGCATATGAAATGAGGGCTGTTGTTGTTATGTGCCATTTAGCTGGCCCCGACTCACAGTGACCCCTCTTTGGGTTTCTGAGGCAGTATCACTACAGAAGTAGATTGCCCCATCTTCTTTCTGAGGAGTGGCTGGAGGGTTTGAACCGCCAGCCTTCTGGTTAGCAGTAAAGTGCCTTAGGCACTATGCTACCAGAGCTCCTATAAAATGAGTAGGAACAGATAATAATTGGAACATAGAATGTATGAAGTATGAATCTAGAAAAATTGGAAGTTGTCAAAAATGAAATGGAATGTATAAAGATCTATATCCTAGGCATTGTTGTTGTTGTTGTTATGTGCTGTCGAGTTGGATCCGAGTTATAGCGACCCCTCCTTGGGTTTCCGAGGCAGTATCACTAAGGAAGTAGATGGCCCAAGCTTCCTTTCGAGGAATGGCTGATGGGTTTGAACCACCAGCCTTCTAGTTAGCAGTCAGGTGCCTTAGGCATTACGCTACCATTAGTGAGCTGAAATGGACTGGTTTTGGCCATATTGAATCAGACAACCATATGATCCATTATGCCAGGAATGAAAGTTGAGGAATGATGTGGCATTCTTTGTTACAAAGAGTGTTTCAATATCTGTCTTGAAATACAATGCTGTCAGTAATAGGATAATATCCATATGCCTACGAGGAAGACCAGTTAATATTACTATTATTCAAATTTATGCACCAACCACCACAGCCAAAGATGAGGAAATCGAAGATTTCTACCAACTTCTGCAGTCTGAAATTGACCAAACTCGCAATCAAGATTTGTTGGTTATCACTGCTGACTGGATTGCAAAAGTTGGAAAGAAAGAAGAGTTGCTAGTTGTTGGAAAATATGGCTTTGGTGATAGAAATAACACTGTAGATCGCATGATAGAATTTTGCAAGACCAATGACTTATTCATTGCAAATACATTTTTTTCAACAACATAAGTGATGACTATACACGTGGACTTCACCATATGGGATACACAGGATTCAGATTGAGTATGTCTGTGGCAAGGGACACTGGAGAAGTTCAATATCTTTGGCTAAAACAAGGCCAGGAGCTGATGGTGGAATAGACCATCACTGCTCACATGTACATTCAAACTGAAGTTGAAGACAATTAAAACAAATCCACAGGAGCCCAAATATGACCTTGATAATATTCCTCCTGAATCTAGAGAATATTTAAAGAATAGATTTTATGCATTGAACACCAATGACCAAAAATCAGAGAAATTGTGGGATGACATCAAGAATATCATATATGAAGAAAGGAAAGGGTCATTAAAAAGACAACAAAGGAAGACAAGACAAAAATGGATGTCAGAATAGACTCTGAAACTTGCCCTTGAGCAGAGAGTAGCTAAAACAAATGGAAGAAATAAAAAATAAAAGAGCTGAACAGAAGATTTCAAAGAGCAACTCAAGCAGACAAAGCCAATTATTGCAATGAAATGTGCAAAAACCTGCAGTTCGAAAACCAAAAGGGAAGAACAGGCTTGGCATTTCTCAAGCTGAAAAACAGGAAAAAACTTAAGCCTCAAGTTGCAATATTGGAATATTCTATGGGCAAAATAGTGAGTGATGCAGGAAGCACCAAAAGAAGATGGAAGGAATACACAGAGTCACTGTACAAAAAAGAATTTGTTGATGTTCATCCATTTTAGTAGATGGCATATGATCAAGAAACAATGTTACTGAAGGAAGAAGTCGAAGCTACACTGAAAGAATTGGTGAAGAACAAGGCTCCAGGAATTGATAGAATACCCATTGAGATGTTTCAACAAAAGGATGCCACACTGGAGGTACTCACTCAGCTATGCCAAGAGATTTGGAAGATAGCTACCTGGCCAATGGCCAACTGACTGTAAGATCCATATTTGTATCCATTCCAAGGAAAGGGGACCCCACAGAATGTAGAAATTATTGAACATCATTATCATATGCAAGTAAAATTTTGCTCAAAATAATTCAAAAACAGTTGCAGCAGTATATTGAAGAGAACATCCAAAAATGCAAACTGGATTCAGAAGAGGATGTAGAATGAGAGATATCATTGCTGATGTCAGATGGATCTTAACTGAAAGCAAAGAATACCAGAAAGATCTTTATGTATGTTTTATTGACTTTGTAAAAGCTTTGGATTGTGTGGATCATAACAAATTATGGATAACATTGAGAAGAATGGAAATTCCAGAACACTTGCCTGTGCACATGAGGAACTTGTACATAGATCAGAAGGCTGTCATTCAAACAGAACAAGAGGACACTGAATGGTCCAAAATCAAGAAGGGAGTGCATCAAGGTTGTATCCTTTTACCATACTTATTCAACTTGTATGCTGAGCATCTGAGAAACTGGATTATATGGAAAAGAATGTGGCATCAGGATTGGAAGAAGACTCATTAACAACCTGTGATATGCAGATAACACAATTTTGCTTTTTGAAAGGGAGAATGACTTGAAGCACTTACTGATGAAGATTAAAGGCTATAGTCTGCAGTATGGATTACACCTCAATATAAAGAAAACAGTGCTGAGGAGCAAGGATGTCTCCTTGAGGACTAAGGTGTGCTTGACACAGGCCATGATATTTCCAATTGCCTTGTATGCATGTGAGAGCTGGACAATGAATAAGGAAGACCAAAGAAGAGTTAGGAGCTCTGGTAGCATAGTGCTTAAGGCATTTGACTGCTAAGCAGAAGGCTGGTGGTTCAAACCTACTAGCCCCTCCTTGGAAGGAAGGTTGGGCAATCTACTTCCGTAGTGATACTGCCTCGGAAATGCAAGGAGGGGTTGCTATGATTCAGGTCTGACTTGAAGGCACATAACAACAACATAGAAGAGTTGATGCTTTTGAGTTGTGGTGTTGGAGAAGAATGCTAAGAGTAACCAGGTCTGCTAAAAGGACTAACAAATCTGTCCCAGAGGAAGTGCAGCTGGAATGCTCCTTGGAAGCCAAAATGGCCAGATTTTGTCTCACTTACTTATGTTGTCAGAAGGAACCATTTCCTGGAGAAGGATATCATGCCTGGTAAAGTGGAAGGTCAACAAAACAGGGGAAGGCTCTCAACGAGATGGATAGACACAGTGGCTGCAATGATATGCTCAGGTATAGCAAGGATCATGAGGCTGGCACAGGACCAGGCAATGTTTCGCTCTGCTGTGCATAAGGTTGCTATGGCACATAACAACAACAATACAACAACATATGCATGTGACAGCTGGACAAAGAATAAGGAAGATAGCAGAATTGATTCATTTGAATTGTTGTGTTGATGAAAAATATTTAATGTACCATGGACTGCTAGAAAAATGACCAAATCTGTCTTAGAGGAAGTAGAGCTGGAATGCTCCTGAGGAGCAAGAATGGCCAAGGTTTTTCTCTCATAATTTGTCTCTCATAACGATATCTGAAAGGACCAGTCTTCGGAGAAGGATATCATGATGGCTAAAGAAGAGGGTCAGTGAAGAAGGGGAAGAGGCTCCACAAGATGGATTGATAGTGGCTATGATAGTGGGCTCAAGCATGGCAATGATTGTGAGGACAGCACAAGACCAGGCAGCATTTCGTTCTGTTGTACCTTGGGTTGCTATGAGTAAAAGTGTATGTGAAACATGTGTGAAAAAAAAAAAAAAAAAAAACTCACTGCCCTCAAGTTGATTCCAGCTTATAGTGATCTCCATTGGGTTCCCAAGCCTGTAAATCTTTATGGAAGTATATTGCCTCATCGTCCTCCCATGGAGAAGCTGGTGGGTTTGACTCACCAACCTTCTATTTAGCAGTCAAATGCCTCATCCACTATGCCACCAGATCTTCATATGTGACTATATATGTAATTATATATATAACTATATATATGTATTTTTTTGCAAGTGTTAATTTAGTACTAACTACTCATCATACAAAAGAAAAATAATATTAGAATGTGTATAAAATATTAGTCCTAATTATGAACCACCTGTAATTATACAAAGTAAGGAATTGTGTCATGTCAAACAAATTTTTCTTCTTGAAACTTAAAAAAAAAACCCTAATGCTAATGAGAGAAGTTCCATCAATCAATTTCTTGGATATTATTCTCTTGGAATGTACCTGATGAGGAATGCACTGTAGTTACTGCATTCACGTCTGAATCCATCAAAGAGCCACAGCTAGATTCTGTCAAGGTCCCTTGAACAGTCACAGGTGCGATGGTGGCATGCCGCAGGGCTGCCTTCAGTGGTGCTATGTGATTGTACTGTACAGAAGACAGGCATCCAACAAAACCCAGGGTATTTGCTTTGGCAACTTCGGAATCCAGTACAAGATCATCTGTAACATGAAAGACAATCATATTATTTTATTCAAACTCTTGAGTCATCTTTACTTAATGTCTAAAACTACATAAATTACCTTCTTATTCTTCTTTTAACATTTTATTATGATTTGAGTGAAAGGATAAGAGCAAATTGGCTTTTCATTCAACAATTCAAGTGAATTTTGTTTGTGACATTGATTGCAATCCCAGAAATGTAACAGTGTTTTTCCCGCTTTCTCCCTGTGTCAATGACTGATTGTTCTAAAGAGTGCTTAAGTCCTGGTGTTATTATTCACCTTACAGGCCTGTCTATCATTTGGCTGAAAGTTGAGCCACAGGGGCGAGTTCTGTTCCAGGCCTGAAAAGTATCTAAGGGACATAAACTTGGAGTTTCCCTCATACTCCATCTGACCAGTAAGCCTACATTATTGTATTATTTTGAGTGCTCTTCCATATTTTTCTCACATTCCATACAGAACCTCTTATGATCCCTTTCACAGTGGTTAGCAGTGGTAGCTGGGCATCATTGAGTTCTGCTCTCAGAGTCCTGGAGGCTGGGGTTTACATGGTCCATTATTCCATTGGCCCAATTGTTTATTGGCATCTTTGATTTTCTCCACTCTTCTTTGATCCAGGTGGGGAGAAGCCAATAGTTGCATCTTAGATGGCTACTCATAAGCTTTTAAGACCCCAGATACCACTCATCAAAGTAGGAGTTAGAACATTGTCTTTGTGAACTATGTTAATACCAATTGTCTTCAGTGTCCCCCAAGAATACAGTCCTAAGCCCCTAAGTCCAGAGACTCACTCCTTCAAAATGTTTGGTTATGGCTAAGAAGTTTGCATAGCTTTGCCCCTTTTATGCTCTATTATATCCATGAATATATTTGCAAAGAGTCCAAATAATTTTGTAGAAATAATCCTCTCTCAATCCTGTACATATTTTGGGGTGTAGTCTTACTTGTCTTACCACTCCTGCTCAGTTTGTGTGTATATCTGTGTATCCAGTTGTGGATTATTGTTATTACTGTTATTTTAGGATTGTTGTCGTTGTTATGTGCTTTGAGTCATCTCTGACTCATACGAACCCTCCTTGGGTTTCTGACGCAGTATCACTGTGGAAGTAGATTGCCCAATCTTCCTTCCGAGGAGAGGCTGCTAGGTTTGAACCGCCAACCTTCTGGTTAGCAGTCAAGTGCCTTAGGTACTATGCCACCAGAGCTCCCCTTATTTTAGGATAGGGTATGTGATATATTTACCTTTGTTGCCTTTAACTCTTGTACTCTCAGTGTCTTCCTGTGCCTGGATCATTTTGTGTTGACCTTGTCCTTATTTTATATTACCTTTCTTTTCACATAAGTTAATAGGAGCTCTGGTAGCATAGTGCCTAAGGCACTTGACTGCTAACCAGAAGGCTGGCGGTTCAAACCCACCAGCCACTCCTCGGAAGGAAGGTTGGGCAATCCTACTTCCGTAGTGATACTGCCTCGGAAACCCAAGGAGGGGTCGCTATGAGTCGGGGCCGACTCGACGGCAAACAACAACAACAACATCCTCTAGTTAGTGCTTTACTTACTCCCCCCAGCCCACCACCCCTGATAAACTTAAAAGAATGTTTCCTTCTGTGTGTAAACCTTTTCTTGAATTTTACAGTTGTTGTCTTATACAATGTTTGTCCTTTGGTGATTGACGAATTTCACTCAGTATATTTTCCTCCAGGTTCATCCATGATATGAAGTGTTTTGCACATTCACAGTTATTTTTTAATGTTGTATAGTGTTCCATGTGAGCATTTACCATGGTCTGTTTATCCTTTCATCCAATGATGAGCACTTTCCATCTGTTTGCCATTGTGACTAGCACTGCAATGAACATGGGTGTGTGTGCATATGTGTTCATGTCATAGTTCTTATTTCTCTAGGATATATAACTAGTAGTGGGATTTCTGGATCATATATATTTTTTTTTAATTTCTAATTTTTAAGGAAGGAATTCTAGTAGCATAGTGCCTGAGGCACTTGACTGCTAACCAGAAGGCTGGCAGTTCAAACCCACCAGCCATGCCTCAGAAGGAAGGTTGGGCAACCTACTTCCATAGTGATACGGCCTTGGAAACTCAAGGAGAGGTCTCTATGAGTCTGGCCTGACTCGGCGGCAAATAACAACAACAACAATTTTTAAGGAAGTTATATACTATTTTCCACAATGGTTGTACCATTTTATAGTCTCACCAGCAGTGTATGAGGGTTCCAAACTCTCCACACATTTAACAGCATTTGTTGTTTTCTGTTTTTATGAACTTTGCTATTAATAATTGGGTGAGGTGATTCTCCCATTGCTGTTTTGATTTCTATCGCTCTAATGGCCAATGTTCATAAGCATTTCTTCATGTGTTTGTTTGGTGCCTGAATGTCTTCTTTGATGAGGTGTCTGTTGTTCTCTGCACATTTTTTTTCCTTTGCTTTTTTGCCGATTACTTGGTTTTGTTTGTTTTTATTGGTTGTTTGTGTAGTTGTTGATGTATTGAAGTTTTTAAAAATAATTTTAGAGACCCTTGTCTGATAAAAATTGCTATTAAAATATTTATACCAGTCTGTAGGTTCTCTTTTTATTCTTTGGTGAAATCTCTTGATGCATATAAGTGTTTAATATTTAAGAGGTCCAAGTTGTCTAGTTTGTCTTTTGCTGTTTGTGCATTTTAAAACATGTTTAATTCTGTATTTATGCAATGAATTTGGGCCACTAAATTTCCCATTTTTTTCTTTCATCATATTTATTGTTAGGTTTCACATTTAGGTCTTTGATCCATCTTAATTTACTTTTTGTATATGGTGAGAGATATAGATCCTGTTGAAATTTTTAGCGGAAAATTATCTAATTTAACTACCACCATTTTTGGCATTTTGTCAAAGATCAGCTGTCCATAAGTTGATGAATTTTCTTCTGTGTTCTCAATTCTGTTCCATTTATTTATGTGCCTGTAAATATATCAATACCAGGTTGTATTTACTACTATGGTTATAAAGTAGGTTTTGAGGTTCAGGAGTGTGAAGCCTCTACTTTGTTCTTATGCTTTATTAGTGTTTTAATTATCTGGGGTCTCTTTCATTTCCATTTAAAGTTGGTAATTATTTTTTCTATCTCTTTAAAGAAAGATGATGAAATCTGGATTGAGAATGCATTATATCTGTAGATCACTTTGGGTACTACAGACATTTTCACAGTGTTAAGCAAGATATATTCTTCCATTTATACATACCTCTTTTGGTTTTTTGTAGTAGTGATTTGGGGATTTCATTGTATGTTCTTTTTTTGTGTGTCTCTGGTTACATTTATTCCTATGTAGTTCATCTTTTGGGTGCTTATTATAAATGGTATTATTTTCCTGATTTCTTTTTCAGCATTCTCTTTGTTACTATCAAGGATTCTAATGGATTTTTATGGTGATCTTGTACCCTGCCACTTTGCTGAATCCTGCAATTAGATGCAGTAGTTTTCTTGCTGAGACTCTGGGATTTTCTAGTACAAGATCATATCATGTTCAAATAGAGCTGGTTTTACTTCCTTTGCTTAGATGCTTTTTATTTCCCTTTCTTGCCTATTGCTTAGATAGGACTTCCAATAAAATATTGAATAGAAGTGGTGACAAGGGCATCCTTGCCTTGTTCACATTCAGAAGGGGAATATTTTCAGTCCCTCTTGATTGAGAATAATGTTGTCCATTGGTGTTGTGTATATTCCTTTAATTATGGTTAGGAATTTTCCTTCTATTCCTATTTTGTTGAGTGCTTTTATCTGCTTTTCTGAATCAATTGATATGATCATATAGTTCTTTTGTTTTATTTATGTGGTCAATTATGTTAATTAGTTTTCTTGTGTTGAACCATTCTTGCACACCTGGTATGAATCCTACTTGGTTATGATACCTTTTTTTTTTTTTTTTTTTTGATATATTGTTAGATTTTATTGGCTAGGACTTTGTTGAGAATTCTTTGTCTATGTTCATGAGGGATAGTGGTCTATGATTTCCTTTTTAGTAGTGTCTTTGGCTGGTTTCCAGGAGCTCTGGTGGTGTAGTGCCTAAGGCATTTGTGTGCTAACCAGAAGGCTGGAAGTTCAAACCCACCAGCCACTCCTCAGAAGGAAGATTGGCCAATCTACTTCCATAATAATACCATCTCAGAAACCCAAGGAGGTGTTGCTATGAGTCAGATCCGACTTGACAGCACTGAGTTTGCCTGGTTTCAGCGTTAAAGTTATACTTGCTTAATAGAATAAGTTGGAGTATTCCATTCTTTTCTATGTTCTGGAATAGTTTCAGTAATATTTGTGTCCACTAATATAATAAGTTGGAGTATTACATTCTTTTCTATGTTCTGGAATAGTTACAGTAATATTGGTGTCCACTATTCTCTGAATGTTTGGAGAATTTGCCTGGGAAACTCTGGGCCTAGATTTGTTGTTGTTATTGTTTGAGAACATTTTTTTGACCTGTTCAATTTCTTCATTTCTGATGGATCTGTTCAAATGTTTTACCGCAGATTGTGTTATTTGGGGTAGGTAATGTGTTCCTAGAAGTTTTTCCATTTCTTCTAGGTTTTCAAGTCTTTTGGAGTACAGTTCTTCACAACATTCTGTTATCATCATTTTTATTTCAGTAGGTTCTGTTGTGAAATCACCTATTTTATTTCTTATTCATGTTACTTACATCTTCTTTTTCTTTTCTTTTGTTAAATTTACCAGTGGTTTGTCAATTTTATTAATCCTTTCAAAGAACCAACTTCTAGTTCTGTTAATTCTTTGTACTGTTTTTCTGTTTTATTTATTTCTGCTTGAATTTCTTTATTTTTCCTTTCTCCTATAAGTATGTTGTTGTTGTTGTTAAGTGCCGTTGAGTCGTTTCTTACTTATAGCGACCCCACGCACAGCAGAACGAAACACTGCCCGATCCTGCGCCAGCCCCACAATCCCTGCTATACTTGAGCCCATCATTGCAGCCACCGTATCAATCCAT